AAGGAGGACTGCATAATGATAAAGCAGACTCTGATCAACATTCCCTGCATAAGGATGAAAGGGGGGGGGGGAGAACGACAGTTGGATTGTGAAGGTTTCATGTCGCCCAAAGGAGCACACCACAATATATCTAAATAAACACGGTATAAATTGTAATAGGGAAGGCATGATAAGATGCTACCGAAAATGCGAATAACCCAGGGCAGAAGGGGAGATACAACAATTGTTTAGCACACATTTGGTCAATTGTCTCTGACGTGTTGTTGTATGGTTCCAAGAATGACGATATTCACTGATGATGCCGACTACCATGCCGGCGAAACGTTTGGGAATGTACCACGTCAGCGTTTCAACTTTGGAAATGATCATGAAGGCAATGGTTTCCGGACTAGGTGCGTTCCTCTAACTCTCCCTACCAATATGACCATGTTGCGAAAACAAGGTCAAGCAACCTCTATTCAACGGAAGGAGACTGCGACCACACAAAAGGCCACACCATCTAAGATATGGTTTATTGAACTGATATTTGACAATTCGTTCATCTGGCTCTGGTAATATTTCTATAATCGGTCTTTTTTACTTGTTTAAGGTTCTTTAAACTCACCTAGATATGGCTGCCTTAGAACGCGAAATCACATGAATTTTTTTTAAACTATCCCTTGGGTTTATTTTTATCAAATCCCCAACGCCTATGGTATGGTATCATTAGGTAACAAGACAAATTAATGACGGCAAAACCATCTAGTCACATTTATATGCTGTCTTAATCTCATTTTCACTGAACTGCTAATGAGTTATATATTCCCTAAGCTTTCTAAGCCACTTTAGAAGCTTAAAATTCTATGAAACCTTTACTTTGTTTGTTTTCTTACCCTCTCGGGCACTGGTGAATATATATTTTTCTTTGCCCCTCATGCTAAAGTAGAACGTCCTGGACATGATGAAGGAGTAGATCAAGTTAGTCCCGAGGTCTGGTGGGCCGAAATGGTTTATCTCGCCTGGATGTACTATGCTGCGCAAACCCCAACAAAAATTGTCGATAATTTACCTAAAGTCTCGCCTTATTTGCATGAGCAGCTCGAGACCAGCTCTTTTGCTAAGGAAGAAACCCTTTCTGAACAAGCAATCCAATCGAAACTCCCATCTCCGCCTCCGATATCCATTATTGCTGGACCTAAGGGGTATTTAGCTCAGGCTGTTTGGTTGTCTTACAGGTAGGTACAAAATGTTTTATTTAAAAGCCCTTCATCACTTTTACTTCTTGCACTAATTAGATTGGGCTAGGTTGTAGTGCTTCAGTTCTTTTCTTTCTCACTATCAATTTAGCTCATAACGTTAAGCCTATTTTCGCGCTTTGCACTGTTGTATTGCCTCCCTTCACTGTCGCATTACCTCTACACTTAATGGATAAGTATAGTTAATTGACACTAAAGGATCTATTTCCAGCAAAACGCTTTTTCCTGGCTGCTTTTCCCGTCATACAGGCCACAGGGGTGCCACAAGCTTTTAGTGTCCATATTCGACTTATCTTGGCTACTCATCTACTACCTCTACTCCCGCTTTTCTAAAAGCAGGTCAGCTGTCTTGAGTACTTTGGCCTCGTTCAAGACTTTACTCATTGCTTCCCGCTACTACTTACATTTTGCCACTATCTCCCACTTGTCCAGTTCTGATTTCTAGCCGCAACGCACACACCAGCCATTTGTTATCCTAAGCTGTTGAATTGAAACCGAAACTAGTCCTTCCCTTCGTCCGCTCGGTTACTTTATAGGTCGTCCCCCCTATACCGCTGGTATTGGATCTCTTATCAAATAGGAAAATGTCTAGGAGCCAGAAGTTTATTGCACTGATTACTTTTAACTTTCTTTTTATCAGTAGCTTTAATTTAGTCCTCTATAAGATGGTTGTTGCTCTTAATTTCAATTTCACCTTCCTCAGCCTCCCATCTGATATCAATGCAATATTGACATTTCAAGATAACTATATGATAGGTTCGAGCATAAAGATTACTTAGTAATCATTATTTACTGTGGAAACAATTTATTTTGGTTATTTTTCCATATTTATAAAAATGTATATTTATCTAAGAATAAAAGTTCAGAATTAATTCTTGTTTTCATCGGCACGGAATACCTACAGATTAAAAAAATTATAGGTTTAAATAAAAGTTTTTTGAGCTTTCATGCTATACTTCTATTCTTATCTTTCATCTTCAATTTCTCCACAGCTTCGTGCAACTCGATTATTTATCTCTCATGTTCTCAACTTCCTCTTCTTATTGCCCTTATATTTGGCAAAAAAAGAATGAAAATATTAATTTGTAATTTCGATCAAAGCAGATTTGCCTGATAATATCAATCCAGTTTAGCCTAGTGTCTAAACAAGATCGAAACGAAGGTCTGTCCTTGTCAAGAAGACAATTTTGTTTTACGGCGAACGATTAATTTTATTGCCGGGTCAAGCCTCTAGTTCATTGAGCGGTTCAGCTATAAACTGATCAATCGCCTATCGACTAATCGAATTGTCTAGGCTTTTGACCGGACTTTGGCTTAATATTATTACAAGTACTCTAAGGTATTACTGTCGTCTTTACCGATTGCGAGTTACATTCTTCAATACGATTGTTTTTAGTAATTGAGAATATATTTTCTCCTCTATTGCATTTTACTATAACTTCGCTTTATATAGCATGACTAAGGCGAGCCGCTAGTTTGAGGGCCGACTATTTTTCTGTTCATTCTGTGCTGAACTACATGAAGGATATTCGGTTAGCTCGATTTTTACCGAACGATAGGGTCATGCAGCGAGAAGGTAGAGGGATCGGATTAACTAGGCTGACGAGTTATCTGGCTTCTTCCTGGGTAGGCGTGACCATATGTAACGCGCGGATTTGTCCGTCTACTCTACTGACTTCACACATTGATCCAATCTCATAATCATCAACAAGTTGTTTAAAATAAATAAACCTTAGTTTTTTTTGCATGTGTTTCTTATTTATACTAAAGGAGTTCATTTGTTAATATCACCCTTTCAGTTTATGTTTTATTCCGCCCCTAACCAATAACTTTGTCAATCTATCGCTTAACCTGAATCTCGCTTGACAAGACACACTGCTGCTTTCTTAATGCCATTACTAATCTGATGTCCGAATTCACTATCGTACATGAAGTGGCTTTTCGCCTTCTTGTTAAATTAGCTAAGTGTTCCATTAACTCTTACTCTGTTAGAGAATGATTATACAGATTAGGAATTATTATTTAAGCTCCTCATTCCGTATGATGATTTTTAATTTAGGGCTACTCATCTTCGAATTGACTTAAGATATCCGAATTAGAATCCCTTTCATTTGTTTCCTTATTTTCTACTTTATTCAAATGCGTATAGTGTGATTTGTAACAAAATTGCATCACTCAGGAGAAAACACAACATGGGCCAGCCGAAACTTCAGCAATCTTCCCTTGCATCCCAGTTTCTTTTTAACGTATGTTTTTGCGATTTCAGCAATGCGAAACGTTAAGACGGTTGCTGTCTTCCTTCCTAAATCACGTGTTTAGGCTTTAAGATAGTACTGGAATATGACTGCCTTGGACTTGTGTATGGCTTAAAGCTAAACATAAAATGGGACAATTAATACTTATTTATGGAAATTTCCGTGTATTATAATCTTATTAGGAGGACTTTCAGTTCGCATGAAAGTAAATTAAGTAGAGATTCGTTGGTCGATCTCACTAGATGAGGACGGATGAATCTCGTTCTACTGCAGCCGTCTGGCTTTTATACGATATTCATGTTGACGCAGTCCAAAATATTTCCTTCCTCGTTTCGGGTGAGAACGTGCTGAGCTTTCGTCCATCATATGATGGACACCATTAGAGCTGGGTTTCATTTTTGTAAGTCTCACGTTAACACTAGGCCAAAAACACCATCCGGCTCTAGCTTACTTCTCATGTAGACTCGATTGAGCCAAATGAAAATTAAAAACCTAGATATATCGATATAGAGTGGTTTGGTTAATTTTCTTTCATACTGGTACTGTAATTTTTCCTAGATTGTATGATTATGTGTATTTGTGCGTATTAGCGTCTATATGCAATACGGTTCCTAAAGCAGAGTTGTAAAAGTTTTAATCTCAGGTTCTGATCCTCAAGACCTAATGACCCAGGAGAAAGCCTTGACTAAGACTGTGTAGGTCCGTAAACAAGTATGGTTTCGTAACTTGAATTTCATGCTTAC